CTGTTCCCAGCTAACTGTCTACATACAATAGCTGACTGGACTAAAGGCATTTCTCTTGGGTCTTAAAAAAATTAGCCTTGAGTTGCTGGATTAAGTCTTTCCTCTACTTGTCTTCACTCTAAAACCGGCTGCAGAATAATCTATAGCAATTTATCTTCATGAAGGGAGGCAGCAGTACTAAAGCATGCCAAGGAACAAGTTTAAGGATGTCTTAGAAGAATCTATGAAATTAATCAAGAGGCATTTTAGAAGCAAAATTGGCTTTGATAGGAAAGATGGATAGTGGTGGCTGGCACATCCTCTCCCATTGGAGTTTGAAAGTACTGTGCTGTGCCACCAAAAGCAAAGCCAGTAAGTCACAAGAGACAATACAGGGAATAAAATAAAGACAGCTGCAGCAGCAAGGTAAAGCCTTAGGGACATTGTGACCAAATTTGGAAAAGAAGAGGCATGAAAATAAAATGTCTGTGACAGGTACATGAGAGTAAAGGGACTTGAGAGAGAGAGTGTGAGAACATATGGGTGAGAAAAGCCTGTGGAGATCTGGGTGGTTTGAGTGAATATTAACACATCTCTCAGGAGCAGGAAGTGTAATACTACTGCCCCTAAAGCATTTGTGACATTGGCATACATCTGCTGTGTTGGTTTGAGGCTACAGAAGGATGCTGTAGCCACCTCATCTGCTGCAGGAAAAGGCTCTGAAGGTGTATTTAAGCAGGGCTTTCAGGGAGATGAGCACAGCTTCTGCAGGAGAGAGGGATGCACTGGTACATAAAGCTGAGAGAATCCCAAAGAAGAGGTGGGGCTAGTGTCTTTCAAGAACTGGCCACTGGTTAGTAGGAATACCTTTAGAGAGAAGAAGCTGACGTTGAATTCAGTCACACACCTTGCAGAATGGAAGAGAAGGACCAGAAGTTCTGAGCAAGAGAGGAAAAAAAAAAAAAAAAAAAAGAAAGAAAAAAGGATGTTTAGGATTTCCATAAAATTTAGGCCTGGGCAGGACTAGGCAGCAGAAGCTCTTAATGTCAGAACCTCAGCTCTGGTGGCCCTGATTTCTCACAAAATCCCATTTTGGCAGCTCACCTTTTTTTAGGCCTTGTCTCTCACAGACACCAATGCTGCGTGGGCTTGGGGGCTGGCTCTTTAACCCTACTGAAGAAGGGTTACTGTGCCAAAAGCCTGTGTTTCTAACTGAAAACTTGAGTCTGAGTTGCTGTGGCCTCCATTTTCAAAGACTCAATCTAACACATCCTAAATTAACTCACCAGGCAACAGAGTATGAAATCGGACATGACCGATTGATTCTTGGGCATCGATTCAAAGCAGAAACTAATGGAATGTAAAGAAAATGTAAGAATCTATCATACTGTAAAGGGTGCCTATTTAACCACTTTACTAAATAAAATTTCATTTGGGAGCTGGGTGGAGGCCTAATGTTTGAAGAACCAACTAAAACAAGGCATAGGGACATTGCAAACTATTGCCACACAGATCGAGCCTTGAGGGAATGGCTTTGTTAGATGCCACTGCCTAAAATAATTGCAGGATAATTTTGGCTAGGGGCACCATCCTATCGTCTGATGATTTTTAAACTGCGCACAGATAGTTTAGACTGAGTGATCTTGGCATCCAGCTACAAAGAACAGATAAATCCACTCAGCGTACTGTGTCTGTGCTTTGGCTCTTGGAAGAAGAAAAGATGTCCTAGCACTGCCAAAGGAAGATCTCTGAGCTACAGGAATCAGCAGCGCTGCATGCTCCTTCTGCGATGCTCTAAGATAGACTAACCAGGGGCTTTCTCCTAAGGTAAGCAGCAGGAAAATAATTCTTCCTCAGGCAGTACAGAGCAGGCAGGTCAGACCTGAAGCAATGTGAATGAAACCCAGGAGTATTTGCATCTTAGCATTTAACTTTTTTTGACAAGAAATTTAAGATTTAACTCTGCTTTTTCAAATCATAGCTGATGAAAACCTGGCATAAATTTAGTATAGAAGTGATTTGAATAGTGGCAAATGATCAAATGAACTTTAAAATAAGGAAGTAACAAAACCAAGAAATAAAGAAACTTCCTCAAAGAAAAATGGTGGATTTCCATCTGGTTCTAACTGATTACATGCATGAAATTTTACTGCTTGAAATAACCATATAAAAATATTTGGACAGACATGAAGGTAGTCGGTGTAATGAGAAATGTCCCAGGTATGTACTAACTATACTAAAAATTATTTATTTCTAGTATACTAGGTTATTATAGTAGAACACTAGAATTTCTAGTACACTAGTAGACTGGAAATGACAATATCATTGATATTTGAGATTGTACTCTGACAGTAAACTGAAATACTCTGTTACACAAAGCTCAAGTAAGACCAGGGAAGAGAAAGGTGGGAAAATTGGAAGCAAATTGCAATGGCAAGGCTGTAAAGTAGTTTTGGCTGATTTTTTAGAAACCCTGGCTTTCGTGGCTCTAGACTGACTTTGCTGCTTTATACACAACATTCACCATGTCAATATTCATACTGGGGTTCTACCAGTGCAGATTTGAGGGAAAGTGTCTTGGTGTAATAAGTTGACTTAGATAATGGAATTAGACTGCTCCTATAATTACTCTCCCCTCATGATTGTTATAAGGGAAGGATGATGATAAAGTTGTTTAAATACTGGTAAAAACAACTTAAGAAACAAATGCAGCTGTAGAACCAGAGCGATATGTTTATAGTCCTTGTCCTCTCTTACCCCAAATAGTTACATCCACTTTCTGTTGCAAAACAGGCAATGGTAATGCCTACTGCTAGAGGAATGCCAGCGTTTCTTCTTTGGGATTAAAACATGTCTCCTTTCCTTTTTATTCCTGCATTTACATTTTAGCATCTCACTTGGGTTTTTGGGTTGGTTGTTTGTTGGTTTTTTTTTTCCAGAATCTGCCCATTTCAGTGAGGGATCAGCCATTCACAAGGCAGCAAATACACCCAAAGCTCCTTTGCTTAACTGTTGTGTTGCTGTCATTCAATCACCTTTCAGGGGAGGTGGCACAGAGCAGTCAGCAAGTGTCACCCACTCGTACTTGGCCTCTTGAGTTCTCTGGGTTTGGGAGCTTGCTCTATGTAATCCTCTGCTTCTCACTTTACTGAAGGTGAACTATTCTGCGCTTCCGAGCTCAGAAAAACAGATTCAATATTGATAACTTGAGATGTAGCATTTTCTAGTAAACATTTCACTATAGGAACATCTTTATAACCACCCAACCTATGAAATTGCAACAATTTGAAAAAAAAGAAACCCAAAAAAATATGAAATCAGAAGACAGGTCTGACATTGTTCTTTAAAGATGAGGAAAATACACTGCAATAATTGTTGCTGATGTTTTTTTCATATATCTTATTTCAGTGATATACATGGGAGGGAAGGAAAGTGGAAATGGGGAAAGAAGAAATTCCAGCTGCATCACAGCACCTAAGAAATGGCTTAACTGGCTGGGTTTCCTCAGCCAGTTCCCTCTGCCAAAAGGGAAGTTCATTGTGTAAATTCAAATTTGCAGGGAAAAAACCCCAAAAAACCCAAAATCCAATACACAGAAATGTGATATTAAAGTCTGTAGGCTTATGCAGAAAATGACTGCACTGTTGGTTGCAGCTGAAAGTCTTTACTTACAGTGTGGATAAATACAGCCTCCAAACAGAATCATGCTATGGGGTATCGTATCATAAACCATAAGCAAGTTATATTCATGATGGTGATATCACTCGGCTGTGCTATCAATTCAAATTGAGTAAGATTTGGTTATTGCAACCAGCCACTGTCAATAAAGCTTAGAAATTTCATGTAACTAAAAGTTGTGGTTTAGTGGAATTTGGGAAGTTTGGAAAGTACAGTAGCATAAAAAGAGTCAAGTGTGAAATGTAAGGTAGATATGATTCCAGTTGCTTTTAATATTTTATTACCATGTTAGCAGAAATAACTCCAGGGACTCAACACCGCATGTGCGGTGCATTCACAAATAAACAGACAAATACTTTACATTTCAATTTCCCACATTACCTGAAACTCATGAATCGTTTCCAGAGAAGCAACTTGGAAATCAAACGGCTGGCAGCAGAACAGAAATCAATTTGCTGGTGAATCAAAGAGCTTCTGGGAAAGAGGTAGTTAAAAATATCATCTCACACTCGGCTAAAAACCTCCACATCACTCCTTTATGTAATCCCTGTTTTATTTACCTCATATGTTTAAATTTATAATTAAGACAAAATATCTGTGATTCAGTAAGACTTTAAAGGCATAAAATTAAAGATGTTAATCCCAGAAACACTCTCAATTTATTAACATTTTCCTAGAACTGAGACTATTTATACATGCACAGCTATGTGTAAATTAGCAATGTATTTGTAGATTTAGGAATCCAAGGGAGAAACTTGTGGATTGTAGATGGGAAAATACTAGATGGGTAGCACTAATAATGCTACTACCTTGGTGTACAGAATGCAACATTTTTCTATCACACTTATAGGATACTTCTCAAAACTTTATCAAACAAATTAAAGCCATGAGCATTATATATTATGGCAAAACTATGGCTAAGCCACAGACAGTAGAATGGAGCAGGTGTAGAATTAAACTCTAGTTGGCAAAGGATTTGCAAAGAAGGAAAAAATTGTCTTCTCTCCTAGTGGGAAGAAAGTAGTGTAAAACTGTAGACAGTTAAGAATTACTGTGGTTTACAGCTGAAATCAATCCCTTTTAAGATTAAAATAATCTCACATTTGCATCTTTCACCAGTAATCACAGAGTCTGCATGTAACTAAAGACCCAGTAAGCAGAAAATAATGATGAACTTCTAAGAGCTCTCCTACTATCAGGAGAATGTATGTGGAAGATCATTATTTTTAAAAAAGCAACCAAAAAAACCCCAAACCAAACTAAAAAGGGCAATTTCAAAAAGAAATTCAGTATTGAATTAAAATAACATATTTTTTTTGTATTTCAGATATGAACTTCTGACCATGGGGGATTGGAACCTGTTGGGCAGCATCCTTGAAGAAGTGCACATCCACTCCACCATAGTTGGCAAAATCTGGCTCACAATCCTGTTCATATTCCGGATGCTGGTGCTGGGAGTGGCTGCTGAAGATGTCTGGGATGACGAGCAGTCTGAGTTCATCTGCAACACGGAGCAACCTGGCTGCAGCAACGTCTGTTACGACAAAGCCTTCCCTATCTCTTTGATCAGATACTGGGTACTGCAGATCATATTTGTCTCTTCTCCATCGCTAGTTTACATGGGCCATGCGCTCTACAGATTAAGGGCTCTCGAGAAAAAACGACAGAAGAGGAAAGCCCAGCTGAGGGCTCAGCTAGATGACCTGGAGCCCATTCCCGAGGAACACAGGAGAGTTGAGAGGGAGCTGCGTAAGCTGGAGGAACAGAAGAAAGTTAAAAAGGCCCCCCTGCGAGGGTCCCTGCTGCGCACCTATGTCCTACATATCCTGACCCGGTCAGTGGTGGAAATGGGCTTTATGATGGGTCAGTATCTTTTATATGGGTTTCACATGTCCCCCCTTTACAAATGCACCAGGCTCCCTTGCCCTAACACGGTGGATTGTTTTGTGTCCCGACCCACAGAGAAGACCATCTTTATGGTCTTCATGAACAGCATCGCCGCGGTCTCCCTTCTCCTCAACATCCTAGAAATTGGCCACCTGGGCCTCAAGAAGATCCAAAAGAGCCTCTACGTGCAGCTGCGGCGGCCAGCAGGCCCTGCTGAGGAGGACACCAACCTCTACAACTCCAAGAAGAGCTCCGTGGTGCAGC